TGTAATTTTTTTTTTTTTTTTTTTTTTTTTTTTTTTTTTTGCATAGCTAAACCTAGACTGTAACTAGGTAGGCCTTTATGCTGACTCTGAAGAATTGCAGGAGGAAACAGGTGCTGTTCACAAAGAATTTGCCTTTCTTGAGTGTAAAAGTTTATTTCTCAGAAGTGGTTGGGCTTGTCTGCTTACTGTATTTCTTGGGATGCTGACTGTCGCTGTGTGGGTGTGTGTATGCAATCCCAGGTCAGAAGAATTACCGCTGTACCCTCTGTGACAAATCCTTCACCCAGAAGGCTCACCTGGAATCGCACATGGTCATCCACACGGGGGAGAAGAACCTGAAGTGCGATTACTGTGAAAAGCTCTTCATGCGGAGGCAGGACCTCAAGCAGCACGTACTCACTCACACGCAGTAAGTCATCTCCCAGGAGGTGCAGGGACGGCCAGGGCAATAAATAATAGGGCCTTCAGCTTCAAGAGTCTTTAGTTTGCAAATAGTTTGGCCTAGAGGAGTATAGGTTCATCCTCTAAAATGACAGAGAAGTCAATCTGGACAAATTCCTTGTTACTGGCTGAAGTTGTCCTATTCTAGTGTTCGCAGTATTTTAATGACACAGTAGATTCCAAGCGTGCACCTGGAATGTGAAATGGCGTTCTCAAGTGCTCACCATTTTGAAGAGAGAGGGGGGTTAGTTGATTTGCACTTAGTTCTCTGCTGAGAACTGCTTCCACCTCCCAATGTGATAAACTCCTCAGTGCTATTCTCACCAAGCAGCTTGTTAGTGAAGTCTCCCTCTGTTTGCACCAGGAATGGGGTGCAGACGTTCCCAGCTCTTACCTCCCCCCAGGTCTCATTCATGCACTTGGTCTCCTGCTCCTCCTGCAGGGAGATGCCCACCATCAGGGCAGATCCCCACCCCCAGGTCCTCCACTGGTTACCTAAAGGTTTCTCCCAGCCCCTGAGTTCTCTGCCAGGCAAGATTTTCCCTTCTGCTGTGAGAATTTGTCCATCCTGTCTAGTTATTCCCAATCTGAGGTCCTCCCTCAAAGGCTGCTTGCCCAAAGCTCGTCCCTCTGCTTATTTTTGTTTTCAGCATCTGGTTCTTGTACTCACTTGGCATGGATTGCTGCTTCTGTCAGGCTGCCTAGGAGACAGCGTAGTGCAGCTGGCGTGAGCAAGAGAGACAGACAGACTTGCTTTGCTGCTTGTTCTTACAGCTAGAGCCAGGAGCACTACTGCTGGGAGGTGTTTTGCACAGTTATCTACAGAATTTGATTGTTGCAGTCTGGTAAGCCTCTGCTTAGCATTTACAGACTGAGGGTTGTTAACAGTTGGCGGCTTTGTTTTCTTTTTTGGGGTTTACCCCCCCTGTGATTTATGCAGGGGGGAGAAGGAGGGAGACTGACCTTCCCACCATGGCAACATCTCTGCCTTTGCCAAAACATGGAGCTTAACCACAGTTTGGTCTCACTCAACAAACAAACAAACAAACCCCTTGCAGAATTCTTTCTTCTTTAATTAATCATCAGGAAAGAAAAACAGTTGGTCACAAGCTAGCACTTAATCCAAAAAGCCTGTCCTTTGCCAATGATGTTGGGGTGGGGAGCAGAGAAGAGGGGTTTTGTGTATGTGCTGTGTGAGAGAAAACTGAGCAGCATTTACACTTTAGTGCTGTTCTTTCTGGTCTGTGTCTCCTTCAGGTATATTGACAGTAAGATTTAGGAGTAAGACTGACCTTTTTACCCTTCCTGTCACCACCCCCCCACTATTTAATACAGGATCAGCTGCCGTACCGCAGGAGCAAACTGTCACTTTTCCTTGTCTTGCAGAGAACGGCAGATCAAGTGCCCCAAGTGTGACAAGCTGTTTCTGAGGACAAATCACCTGAAGAAGCATCTCAATTCACATGAAGGAAAGAGGGACTATGTCTGTGAAAAATGCTCTAAGGCTTATCTAACCAAATACCACCTCACTCGCCACTTAAAGATATGTAAAGGCCCCACGTCCAGCCTGTCAGCCCCAGAGGAGGAAGAGGAGGAGGATTCAGAGGAGGAATTAATAGACTCTATGAGGACTGAAGACTGTAGGATTAACAATGGAGTCTATTCAACAGGCGATGCCCTCTCTGGACACAAATGAAGAAAAGAGAGGGACATTTTCTTGGATGTTAAAACTGGGGAAGGAGAAAAAACCGAAACTCTTCCTTGTTTCCCCAGTCAACAGCGTATGTCAAATTGGAGTTTTCCTTCTGTTTTGGTCTCCACGCTACCACCGCTTGATAAACTGTTGCCAAAACACTGAACGAGATCGGATCATGCACGTACAAATGAAGAGTTGCTAAGAAGGAAACGTGAGGCAAGGAGATTTACACACACACTGTGCATACTTCTTTTCCAGATCACTCAGCTTAATCCATCCAGTGCCGGGATACACGACACACCTTGCGTAGCCCTTTGAGTAAAGAGCCACAAACCAGAAATGGAGTTGAGTGACTGCAGGGACCTGTAAGCCAACTGTCCTTAGCTGCCAAAGCCATAACAAAAATAAAACAAACAGAAATGGTGGTGGCAGTTGATGTATATTGCTTTTCGAGACCTTTTTAACTGAAGGATGTGGTCTGGCACAAAGCAAAGACTTGTCAAGGCTCAGGTTTCCTTCTTGAGAAAAAAAAAAAAAAAAGCTTTGGTTTAAAAAAACCCAACAGACAGTGGAATCAGCATTTTACAGACAAAGCAATTAATTACCCCACTATAGAAAATCAAAAATTGGCTTTTGGAGAACAGTTATTGCCTCTTCTCACTCTAGTTCCCTAGAACACGTAAGCAGGTGAAGAGGTAAAAACTGTACAGCCGCAGTAAGGACGAGGCTTACAGATGATGGGGCAGTGTTTACAGTATGTATTACTTGTGCTGTAAACCTTTCACCACCTAGAATGAGGGGAGGGTTTGCTGCTAATATTATTTATGGTATGAAGATGTATTTCATTTGGTTGTTTTCTTTTGAAAAAATTAAAAACGTGGCTCTTTTCTAATGTTCTTTTTTTCATATTTACACAACTGAAAAAAGGTTCCTATTTCTGATACTGCTGCTAAGAGAAACGCCACCACTTTTTCATCATCCGCCTCTCCCAAGCTTTCCTGGGACAAGGTTATGCATGGAGCACCTCCATGAACAGGCACAGGTAAGAACTGGTCTTTAAGCATTGTAGATTTGCTGGGTGGCTCCTCTGGGTGTGCTGCAAAAAAAAAACCCCTGTAAGCTGAGCTCTCTTCTCCAACAGGGTAGCTGGAGGTTTCCTTCTGAAAGAGGCTCTAGTTCTTGCCCTAGATGGCTTAGGTTCAGCTGCACATCTCCCTGTCCACTGTATTTCAGAGAGAGCTCCCTGGGTTCTTCAAACCTAAAAATGCACAGTGCCCGCCCTCTGAGATCAGTATGTGAATAAAAAGCTCCAGAAACACAGGTTGGAGGCTTTTGTGTAGTCAAGGGAGAGATGTGTTGCTTGCAGTAATGGAATTTCTTTCTAAAACAAAAAGCTACTTAGAGTCATAGAAGCATTTGGCTGGGAAAGACCTTTAAGATCATAGAATCCAACTGCTAGAGCTACAGTGCTAATTAGTACCAAAGGTAGAGATAACAGAAATTACAACCTTCAGAGAGCTTAACATGAAGCATTTATTTCAAATTAAAGCTTTGAAAAAAATTGCAGCTTTTCAGTGGAGAGTACTTGAACAGAGGTTCTTAAGCTTCAAAAAAAGCAGTTGTTCATTTGTTGTCCATGTTGTTCACCACTGCTTGGCAGAGAAAGGATTGAGGCAGGAATCCCAACACATTCGAAACATTCTTGGTTCCTGCAGCACTATGTGAAGCACCTGTCTCACCAGACTAGAAACAGCTGAAGAGGATTTAGAAGCAGCCACTTGCTTTAAGGGATGGGAAAGAAACCTACAGCCCTGCCTTTCCCCCACCTGCAGTTTGAAGTGATATCGTACATCTGCTTTACCTCACTGAATGAGTTACAGTGCACTAGGGTGGAAAGCAGTGCTAAAATCTCATCTACTTCAAGCACTGACACTACAGCTGCTTTGATACCAGTTGCTTTTGTTCCCAGGGCATTTTTAAACCCTTCCAGTGTCTGTCCACCTTCCCTGCGCTCCACAGGATGAGTACCATTTAACTTCTGGCCTAGGGTAAGGCACTTGGGTGTTCATTTTAAATGTGGGGCAATTGAGTCACGTTCCTTGACTAGGTTCCTGAGGCTTTAAAAGAAGTGTTTAAGTCAGTGGTGAAGCTGATACCCAAAGTGTTGCTCTGTGCCTTCAAGTTTCAGGCAGAAATGCCTGGGAGGAGTTAAGAACATGAACATGTAACATGGACAGCCTTCACCAGTGACAGTGACCAGCTGAGATCCCTTCCCTCACTTTGTGTCCTGACAGCCTCTCATCCTCTTCTGAGTAGTATTTCCTTACTTCAGCCCAAATTATCTTAATATATATTACATTTGGAGCTTGAAGAAAAACCCAATACACATGCAACATCAATAAGCTTCAGGTGCAGTGGAACCAGGGAAAAAACTCTTGATGGGGTAGAGCTGGGATATTTCTGGCTTGATATTGGTGAGCTGAGGTGTTACAAATACCCTTCAGGATTCTACTCAGAGATTCCAACTTAGCGCCCAAGAAATATTCTTAATATTTTAAAAAGTTACATAGAAGAACTTTTAAAATCTGTATTAGAAATCTGTAAATCTAGCCTCAAATTAAGGATAAATTACCTATTTACACTTGTCATTTCATTCAGCTTTTGTTTATTTATTACACAACTGCTGTCTGAAGTATTTTTCCTGATGCCCTTAGAAGATATTTACCTTCTCTGCAGCATTCAACAAACTTCTGGTAGCAGCAGGATGCTTTTCTAGTGACTGTTTCAATGTTACACATAGTAGCCCCTCTTTCTAACCTCAGGCAAAAGCAAGTGATTTCATCTTTCAAAGCTGGTAATAGAGGCAGGAACTTGGAACTGCTGACTTAGAGCTTAACCACATCACCGGGTTTCTTTGTCTGAGATGAAGAAGCCTGCAGATTGCAAGACACTCAAGTAATTTCTATGAACTCTTACCAAACAGGGGCATTCGTAGAATACACATGAGTTGAAGTCCCATTAATGACTTGGATTTTGTGATGTTTGATCCATCATGATTCCATTGCTGTCTCCAGATCGTTGCTGCTGCTGCCGGCCGTGGAGCTGCCAGGCGCGGAGCTGGCGCTTGCCAGAACGTGTCTCTCTCTGTTCCCAAAAGCCTCGTTCACTGCAACACAGAGAGAGGACTGCTTACACCTCGCTGTCGCAGAGACAGGAGCAGTGCAGCAGGTACAGCATGGTCAGTCACAGAACGGAAAAATCATGGCATGGAAATCCTAACCTGGTGCAATTTTACAAGCTTTCCCCCTTGCCCCGAGCAGGGAGCCCAAGTTTACGTGTCTGAACAATCTCCTGCATATGCTACTTAGATTACAAGTCCTGTTATTTCTCCCCCAGAGCATCTCTAAAGGTTTCCCCCGTGTACCTAAGTACTGTGAAGTGGATGAGTTTTGTACAGCAGAACATTAGGGTTAAATAATTTATTTCTGGTTTCAGTTTCTCTGGTTTCCACCGAGCTCTTAAAAGCCTCCAAAAATTCATACCATTTAGTTACAAGAGGCTACGACAACTGATCAAAACCTGTCCTCGCTTTTATTCCTACAAGTACTCAAAAAATGTGACACTTGATTACACCAGGAACATTATGAGAAAAGTAAAACAGGTATAATAAATCAGGTATTATACTTCAGCTACAAGAAAATAAATCACGTGGCAAACACAGTTCTCCAAGTTAGAAAAAAACCCACATTTTTTGAAGCTGAAAAGGTGAACACATACACAGTCTTGGGGTACTCAAAAAATATTAACCTACAGTTTCTCTCAGACCAGACTACGTTGCTGAAAATACAAATACACCCTGGGGGTAAGGGGAGAACCACAAAATTCAAAGAAATGAGAATGTTACCTGCAGAGATCTTGCTTATATCCCAGACACGCAGCCCTTCCCGCTCTCCTCCAAAGGCAAAAACAAAGGGGAAGTCGGGGCAGCAAGCTGCACAGAACAGAACACCCTGCCAAGGAAGAAGAAAAAGCAGGATTTTATTTATTTTTAATTATCACCCTAAAATGAATCTGTCATCTGAAAATAACTTAAATTTGGTTCAAAAAAAGTTTCTGAAACTTATTTTGTAAAGACACAAAATTAAAGTCAAGAGCTGCTAGTTATGAACAGTAGATCACAACTTGGAATGGCAGACACCCATGGGAGAGCCTCTCAGTTCTGCTCAGAACTGGTACCTGGTTCAGGTCCGAGGCTTTAGCAGCTGGACAATTACATGTTGAGCTGAGTGCTGCACTGTGAGGAGAGTGATTTACCCAAAATACACAGATGTGATTCCCCCCCCAAGATGTTACGTTAGTTAAAACAAGATTCAAGCTAGACAAAAAAAGAATAAGCAGACATAGTTTATATATAAAACTTCTCAGAATCAAAAAATTAATATTACTCTACCATTTTCATAGCCCTGGAATGGATTAAGCTTGGTCTGTCTCCCAGGATATCCCAGATTTTCACGGATTTGTCAGCAGATGATGTCACAAGGCACCCTTTGATCTGACTGCTTAGTTGTAGCCCTGGAAGATGAAGAGTGCAGCAGTGTGAGAGCACCAGGAACCACTGTTTCACAGAGATGTGGATACATTTTGAAGCAAAGCCGTGTGAACAAACCCAATATTCTTTTCACACTAAAAAACTCCCTTCCAGCACAAAGGAGCAAAAAGTTAATGATCGCTTCATGCTGCCACTGCTCCCTATCATGGCAGCAAACTAACATCATGTAAATTTATTTTGGTTCTTAATCCAACAACAGTAACAGTACAAAGATGCTGTTGTTCTGCTTCTTATTTCACATAATCTGGCTTCCCCAGGAAGTTTCCTTCATTCATTTGCCAAAGACCATCTCTTTTGCTATCCATAACAATGGGCTATATTCATATGATTTCATTTTAGACACCTGATCAGGTGCTTCAGGTTGCTTTTTAGACGCTCAGGTAATTAAAGTAGCCTGAAGGAGGCAGTGTGAAAACCCTCCCATATGCCATACCTAAATCATCTCCAGAATAAATGTCAGTATAAAGTAATTACAGACAGAGGAGGTAAACATTATAGTTTACGATCCTGAACCAGATTGCATAGGTGTTGTTCTTCCATACTCAAAAAACCACAGAGAGTGTCCCCCAAGTGAATAGAACTGTTTTGATGTTCTTATTCATGACATTCCCTGAGAAAAGGTCACTGTTGTTAAAATACTTTGCTTACAATGGCTTCTGAGCAGAGATTTGTTTCACACACCAGCTACCCGTGATTAGCACGCACAACTCTTTATCTGCTAAGCAAGGAATGACCACCACCTCACTCATACCGGTTAAAGACGTATTCCAGATGTGCCTCACCACACAAACACAACACACACACACACAATTTACCTGACACCTCTTCATCGTGAGCTTTCAGAGTAAACAGTGGCTTATCAGAACGAGCATCCAGACAGTACACAAAGCCGTCCTCTGTGCTTGCCTAAGGGAACCACAACATTTTAAAAACAAACAGCTGTAGTCACTCATTTGAAAAAAAAACCCAACAAAAAACTCCTATGAAATAATACCCACCCTGTAGTAAATCCCTGTGATTTGAGACAGACTTACCCTGCTTCTTAGTAGGGCGTATTACACAGCGTACACAGTTCTGCATCCCCAAAATCAGACTCCATCCTGATGGTGCCTGAGCTATTCCACACACCTAAACTATTCTGCAGGGATTTACATGGAAGTCTTAATCCTGCACGCGTTTAACTGGTATTTTGAAAATGGTTGCTTGGCTCTCATGTTAGACAATGAAATACACAGCCTTTAATCCCTTAACTGTCAGCTCATATTTTTTGGAGCCATCCAGTGGCTGCTTAATAGCCCTGTGCAAAGCTGAGTGTGATTATACTGAGAGTGATCTACATCATAAACCCAACAGAACTGAGCAACTGCTTCTGTTGGCTGTACACACAAAGAGTCTATGGCTAGACAACGGCTAGACAGCCATTGAAACAATAAAAATGATTTATTTTTTTTTACTTTAAAAGTTCTATTATAAAAATCTCCACAAAATCAAGGTATTTTCACTCTGTGCCAGATAGGAGGATGCTGCCCTCTAGCGGTCAAGTGAAACACTGAATATCCAGGATCTTAGTTCTAATTAGCTACTTCTCAGCTGCAATTGCCTCACTACATGAAACACAACAGCAATTATGCAAAGGAAAATACATCGCAGCCACTGAACGCTATGACAACATGGCAAAGGGGCCTCCTCTGGGGTGAAAAAGCATCATCATCAATTGCTTTTCTACTGTCATAACAAAGATAGCAAATAAGCAGCTGGTCTCTAAATACTTGTTGAAAAAACTCCCTAAAGCCATCCTTCCACACACTGCATTTTTACAATAAGCAACACCAACAGTCCAACGGTCCATCAGCTCCATTATATGATTCAGAAACATTATGAACACAAAAATACAGGTTAAATGAAATGGCAACAGTCAATAGACAAAGAACAGAACAGCGTGTACTCACTAAGAAATTACAAGGTGAAAAATGATTCCAGGTGACTCTTTCAACCTGACCACTAAACCGCCACGTTCGATGGTTATCTTGTGGGCTTCTGCAATCGTACAGCACAGCTGATCTAGGGGAAGAAGAGATAGGAAATTAAAAAGAGAAAAAGAAAAAGTCAGGGCAGAACACTTTATGAAGTTTGTTTTATCACTGGCATCTATAGAAGGGCCGTGTAAACTATAATTCAAAAATTAAAATAGAAAAAGCTTCACTATTTAGTCTTTCAACTCAGTATCAGATGACAATTTCTCAGATAAACGCAAGCTTTTTCCATATGCTTCAAAGAAGAAATCTTGGTTACAAAGAGCTGTTCTATTGAAATTAAGCAAACAGAGCTCGAATTTACTCAATACTTAAGACATTTACCATATAGGAGATCACAATTATGCAAATATATCACTTAATTATGAACAGCCTTCTAAAAATTAAAATCATGTCTGTTCAAAAATAATGCAGTAATGAGGAAATAAATTTCTGATAGATATACAAACATTTTCAAATATGCTTTAATAAAAAGAAAGAAAACATTCATCTTTAAAAGTGGTTAGGGAAATGCTACTCCAAAAAGGAGAAAGAGCGGAGTTAGTGGGACCCTTGGGATTCTTTACAGGCACGTGCTCAGCCCAGTGGCAGCAGAACCCAAAAAGCTCCTGGATGCAAATGCAAGAGAGGAGCGATGATGTCATTCTTGCAACATCTCACCACAATTTACAGCCACAGTGTAACCCGCTCCCACTCTATCCTATCATTAAACCCAAAGAAATGTGGCCTGGATTTGTCAGCTCTTTTACCAGGCGTTGTACAAAACCAGTTTGAGTGCATGCGCAGTTGTGAACGGTCTGACTTTCAGGTGATGAAGGCATCTGCCAACAGTCATTGAAGAGCCTGTGGTCCTACAAGGTTTTACATGAAAAACCCACAAAGGCAGTTTACTAGTTTATAGATAATATGCTGCTTTATAGGTGTCCATGGGATCAAAGGGCTGGCTAAAAAGGGATCCAGAAGCTGGTCTCAGTATTCTCAGTATTTGGACTTTTTTTTCCTCATAAAAGAAGCCAGAGACTCGGCTGAGGATTGATGAGTCTTTAAATATTTTAATACAATGACAAAGTCTTAAAAGCTGAATTTAAAAAAAAAAAAAAAAAAAAAAAAAAAAAAGCACTCTGGAGTTTTAAAGAAAAAATGAAATTTACTCCACTCGATAGTCAGTGATGTATATAATTAAATAGAAAGGGTTTGGAGAATGTGATTTTATGGTTACCGTAGCAACTAGCACCTAAATGGTCAATATTCTGTGCTCTTCTACCATCAAAAAAAAAAAAAAAAAATCAATCTAGGAAAATCACAGTCAGAGAACAAAATTAAAAAGTTACCCCCAGGAGATGGGAGAACAGAGGGGAAGCTCTTTAGCTGGCAGCGCTTACAAGAACTGGCAGTTACAGAGCGAGTCCCAGTGTGCAGACACAACCCATGTCACAGCATCTCCAGGCTGCAATCACCAGGAGACAGCCTGTTCAACGTCAGCTATTGCACACAGATCAATGGGGGCTGCAGGGAGAGGACTGGGATTTTAAAGTCTCTCATGCCCCCACCCTGGTCTTACAGTTTGGTAAAACTGGGGCAAGTTTTCACAGGAATGAGCATTCACATCCCCAACGCAGAAAATGCTGTAAGGCCAAATTAAGAAATAGATTCAGTTTGGAGCAGACGCCTGGCACAGAAAACGTCAGTCCAGATGGTTTAAGTATTTGGCGAGTCCTGAGAAAGAGGTAAGGAAAAGTACATTTTGGCCACATCCAAACCTGGCTACCTTGCTGGAAAAAAATAATAGCATTACTCAAATTTGGCAGAGTTATAAGCAACTGAAAAAGAAAACCTGAGGCAACTTAAGGGGCTTAATTCAATCCTAATACCCTCCCCACGTGTAACGTTTGAAAATATTACCCTGACATACTTATCGTAAGATCCAGAAATAAGGGTCTGAGTTTCAAACGGATGAAATTGCAATGTCTGGACCTAGATAACAGAAGATTTTATTTCAAAAATAAGCACTGAAATATAACACATATATAAAGGAATTTTCTTTGAACACAGCACAATCCCTCCTCCTCAAAACCAGCACATTTCCCCCCCAAAAACCTTCCTATTAAGCTTGTTGATAACTCAGATTTCTCATAAAAAAGTGCAAGAGATGCACATTATTTTTATTTCAAACATCCCCACCCAGTGGAAACAAGATATTTTCCAATATAATTTAACTGAAGAGAACCACATGCCCCCTTTCTGCCCTAGATATTAAAAAAATAAGCTGGAGGAGGTAAAAGAAGAGCTGTTTCCAGTTTGGAGAGAAATGCAGATGTGAGCAAAAATTGAAAATCTCAAGTTTGACAAGGGCAGTGACTTTGTTAAAAGCAAAATAAGGTTATAGCTATTAATAACTAACTTTCACATTTTAATTCCTATGAGGTGAATTCATTTCTGAAGTACCCATCACTACAGTATATTAGTATCATTTATTTTAAACCTTACCTAGGACAAACTGTAACCAACACTCACTCTTGCCTTAAGAGAGAGTTACAGCTTGACCTGTGCTTAGAGACCTATTTTTTGTAGCATATACCAGAACTATTACATTCCCAGCCATCCAGGCTTTTGCACAAAAGGCATTTAAAAACCGCTGTATGTCTTTGCAAACTTTCTAAAGGATAAGTTAAATAACTTTTTTAAAAGCACGTACAGCATTTTTCACAAAAACAACTAATTCAGAAATTTAAACTACTCTTCACAGTTGTTAGAAAATTACAGAATTGTTGTTGTAAGGGTTCAATACCAAGCAGCTAATGAAAAACTGGGATTTTTTTCTCTCTGTATTTTACACTGAAAGAAACCTAGCAATTATTACATACCTTGTCTGTATGTAGTGTCAGGCTGGCTGCTGGCTTTCCCACAGACATGTCCCACAAAATCACAGTATTGTCAGCAGATGCACTTGCTAAAACATTCCTAGTAATGGAACACAAATAAGTTTTAAAAATCTTTATACAAATACAAACAAATAATGGTCAAAAATCCAAAATATATAGAGAGCCGGATTCTGAAATCAAGTACTCTCTGGTCTACAGATTATATACCTAAAGCCTGACAGATAACTCCCCGAAGGTAATTCTATGTTACAAGTAAAGACTACAAACAGACTGGATTACATTATATTAGCACAACACTTACAACAACAACATTGACAGTTTTGCTTTTATTTCCCCGTTAACACCAGTTAAAATATAATTTTCTGGAAGATTTCTTGAACAAAGCAAAGCAAGAAAGGCTTTTAGGTAATTCCTTTCCTTTGACATTAAGACAGTAATTTTAAACATTACCTAGGCAACTTAGTGCTGTTTGCATACGCATACAGCCAAGAACCAGAAAAACCTGTTTTTAAAATATTTTGCTCTCTAATATCTAAGTATTTCTTTAACTACTGAAGACCCAGAACGGTACGCCCTTCATAGAATGCTGAAAGGAACCACTAACATTTCACTTGGTTTATAGACCCCACATTTCAACTTAAAGTTGACCAATTGTCTTAGGAATAATAAACACACAGTTTAGAAGTTTAACCAAAACAAACCTCAAAACATTCCCAAAGGCCTGTCCAATTCACAGGAACATTGCTACCATTGCTCCATTGCTCTTAAAACCAGATCTATTACCTCAACACATTGTTTCTGATTGAAACTGCTCCCTCATCACTTTTTTCTTTTTACATTAACTGAGTGTTTCTGCCGGAAAGAGCTAACATTCTCCTGGAAACACTGTTCTCCCAAACAATGCTAGAAGGGAAAGTTAAGAAAATGCATAGGGAAGGCTGTGAGAACATTTTACACTAACACCACTGTGACCTACAGGCAGGAAGTTATTTATAGAGAGCTGTCACATCACGTCTTGCTTTAAAAACCCAAACAACAACAAAACATTTAAATATAAGCTGCTCCTAGGCATTCCTTGTTTTGCCCATAAGCTTCCCACTTCAAGGCTGTTTTTATTTCCTGAAAGATCTACCGGTATCAATGGTAACTCAGCACATTACACAATTATGGATTCCAGACACTCAACTATTGTAGCTGCAGTTTTTGTGACTTGGCTCTATATCATCACCAGACAACCATTTCTAGGTACATGAAAGCTGCTCTTTTTTTAAGGCTGATGGAATGACCACTACCACACTCGGTGCATATGCGTATAATTTAAGAGCAATAGACAGCACACTGTAAATTAAACATGCAATTTATGTAGATTTACTGCACGTCTATGTGGGTGTTTCCTTCTTCAGTATCTAGATAACAAAGCGTTACAAGCGAAGGCTCATCAGGAGTACGCAGAGTTCACTGGGTATCTCCAGATAAGAGCAATAGACAGCACACTGTAAATTAAGCATGCAATTTATGTACATTTACTGCATGTCTATGTGGGTTTCCTTCTTCAGTATCTAGATAACAAAGCGTTACAAGCGAAGGCTCATCAGGAGTACGCAGAGTTCACTGGGTATCTCCAGAGGCATTTATGACAGCGGGGAAAAAAAAAATAAAAATCAGCCTGTGGCCCATTCTGAGGACCCTCTGGCAGCTGAACTGTTAGAAACCACCTAAATGATAAAAAACCAGCAGTATCTTTATTTCAGTCAGCACATTGTCCTTGTCCCCCAAGACGGACCAGCTTTGTGCTGCTTCAATAGCAGCAACTCATTGCTAGTTCATTCAGGCAACAGGGAATTCTCTCTGTCAAGGATAACCCAAAGGTCAGAGGCATTTCTGTAACTGTACTATTAGGGCTTTTACACTCTTTTCTGTTCACAGCTCTGGGGGAAAAGCCAGAGGAGAAAAAACAGAACAGCAAGGACTTCCTTGTATAAATCTATCTATCTGTTGAAATGGTGGTTTAGGTCACTGGCAGATTGGCACAGATCAGGGCAGCCCTTCAGCTTCTCCAATTTGTGTATCTGACTTAAATGGAGCCAATTTATCAAATGGTTCAGACCCACCTTAGCCCTGCCTTCATCTGGACAACCTGCAAATAAAAAGTGACCTGCAGCAATACACAGGTTTTAAAAAAAATGAAGACTTCTGGATAAAAAAAAATAAAAAAAGGAGCGTGTGTATGTATTTTTGAGAATGTATTCATTTCAGCAGTATTTTCAAGTTCAATGCTATACTACATCAGATTTTGGATTTGTGTGAAAAATATATGCCAAACTATGTATATAAATTTGTAACCATCCACTGTTGTTCTTTTATTGTTGTTCTGTTGTATTCTTTTACCTGCTTTGTTTATTCCACGAGAGGTCAAGCACAGCATCAGTATGTCCTTTTGCTGTCCCTTCTGAAGATAAACTCTGTGTCTGCAAACACAACATAAACAGACTTCTGAAAATTATAGCTCCAACGGCAATCAAGCATTACAACACACTAGTATGAACTCCTTAATGCCTTCACAAACAACTTCATGTTTTAAATTACTTATCACTTAACCAGGCTTTTGATAGAACTATCTCTGTAATACCTGCACCTTGTCTCCTACCCCAGATCTCGGATTGCTCCACTCACAGATGGTGGGCTTCCAGAACCAGTTACTCCCTCCAGGCTAGTAGAAGAAATCTCATTGTTTCCAGCTAATGCACAGCTTCTTCAGCTTCTTCCTAAATGCTCCTGGCAGTTCCCTCTCTCTCCTCCCAATTAACTGAGCTTTGGGTCCTTGTAACTGCCAGCTCCCACAAATTCTAATTTTAAATGGTTAAGCTTCAAAGTTTACTGGGACAGCAATTGGAAACCTCCCATAAGCCACACTCTGTTCTTAACTCCAGACTTTAATTAGCCATACAGAGAAAAATTAGCATTTCAAATTGAGGTAACAGCAATTCTGATAACTCAGTGATTTTCAGAAGTAGGTTTCACAGAACAAATTCTGCTTCCAAGGATATTTTTTCTAGTGTTTTTAAAACCAGAAGGTCTCAGAGCTCAAGAAATAACCCCCCCTCACAATTACACAGAATGGTTATTTAGCTAACACTGCAGTGCTTCTTCATTTGGGAAACCAAGATTAGCTCTATACCCAGTGTTCACCTTTCCTATTCAGTCGAGGAAATCTTTAGCACTTCCCAAAGCATCTACTATCAGCAAAATTAAGAAGATTTAAGTTATGTTACCTTCCATACTTGTTTCACATACCAAGGAATTTGGACGAATCATAACAACCCATTCAGACACACAAGGAAGGTCAGATTCATCTCACATAAGTTAGCACCCAGTCAAAACCTCAGTCTTCCTCTTTGGTATTTAAGTTTCTCTCTGCAGTCCACTAGAAGAAACTCGGCCATTCTCTGGGGGTGTCTCTATGCATTCACCTTAGACAACCTCAACAACTAGCTCAAAATATGCTTAAATTTTAGATAAAGCTAGCAGAGGTGAATCCTGAGTAAATGTATTTTATTAGTGTCAACCTTGTCCTTCATTGCTCAACACATTTTCAACGCTGAGTCACAGAAAAATACTAATTTTAACCTATTGCAGATGACCATGAGATTACCTTCTGTAACCTGTCTAAACACCATCTTTCAACATGACAGAATTAAACCAGATCATCTAAAATTTTTTTACTGTAGGAAAAATAGTAATGACAACATTATCCTTGCTCTAAGTTTTCTACATCCGACCGGACAAACCATTTTGCAATACTCACTTTCTTTCCTTTCTTTTTCTTCTTTTTTTCTTTCTTGTCTCCAAGAGAAAAGACTGGTTCTAAGGATTCCACTATATCAAGGTCCCAAACATCAATAATCGGGGTCATGTTACCCACCGCAACATAATTTCCTACAAGCAGAAACCCAAATGCAACCACATTTATTCAGTTACAAAACAGTGTATTTGGCAATCCAGCTGTTGCTTATTTCTTTGATTAAGTGAAACTTACACTTATGTGCCAGCATCTTCTATTTGAACATCTTTGATGATTATAACTGACAAGGAACAATTTAAAAATATCAACTGACAGCACATGTTGCCAGAGAAAAATTTACTTGCTTGCCAATACACTTCCCCTTCAGTACAAGTAACTGTACAACGAAGCTGTATAAAGTTCCATGTTCTGTTTGTTTTTTTAAGGAAAATAAAACCAAACCATTCCCCATGCTAAAAAAAATAGTATCTGTAAAACGCAAGAAAAAGGTTACCAAATACATAAATATATATACATTTTGCTGTGTTTTACAGTTAGTTAACTGCTTTGGCCTTAATGATTTTGAACAAAAGCAACCTTTCATTTGCAAGTGGAAAATAAAGCAGATTAGAGAAGAGCTTGCTCTGGTCTGCTAATTGACAATAACTTAGTTATTTGTAATAAAATCAGTGTTTTAATCAAACCACTTGTTATGGCAGCATCACTAAGATGACTGTATCACCAAGCCAAAAAAAAACAAAGCCTGATATCCAGTTTTTCCACCTTAACGTTTTGGTTTTATTTCTGTTTGTATCACTGGAGGAAATTATTTAATGACAATATTACATTTATATACTTTTGAACTATTAACTGGGCAGTTACAGTGTTCTTTGTAATTTACCTAGTGATTCGTCAGGGCTAGGATCAAAATTCAACCACTCCAGACACAGAGGGTAAGCTGGCAAGATAATATCATGATGTACATAAAATGAGTCCTCTTCATGATTGTAAACTGAAAAAGAATTAAAGATATACAAGATTATAAACTGCAGAAGCCTGTGATACTGTTTAATAAGTTTACACCAGGAAAATAACCAGTTTACACTGGTTACCAAATTACACCAGTTAATAAAATTGGTAAATGCCTCCAGATACAGAGAATACCAGATGTTGGTATCTGAAGAGATGCCTTCAAACACTTTGGTCTTGTTGTTTTCTTAAAACAGAATACTTTGCTTGCAGAAACATGTACCATAGCAGCAATAGCCAAAAACATTTACCCAAAAAACCACCGTAAGAAAAAATGGTAACTTCAGCACACTCAGTAGTACTTCTTGCTGCAATAGAAAAATCTTTTAAACGGTAAAACTAAATCCATCCCTAGAACAAGTGGTATTTTGACGTTATTAAGGATCATCCCTTTTAAAATTAAGATGATAAAGGTGGCAATTCTTCTATTCCTAGCAGTGGAAAGCACATTTAAAGAAGCAAGGAGAAAGTAAGTGAAAAAACCAAACCCATCAACAATCACCTAGAAGAAGCTTGTGTGACTGGAAGAAAGACTGTATGCTCAGAGAATAAAATTGCCATAATATTTTCTAAGTGTCAATAGGAATAAAATAAGGAAAGGAAATCCTATACAGCCTGATAAAGGCACACTGTCCTCTAAATAACAGTAACTCCACATTAAATACTCTGGTTCTGGAAAGTGGCTAAAGCATCATGATATAAAAAAAAAAAAACAACAGAGAACAAAACACACAGGACACATGGGGAGGAAAAAACTTCCAAAAAACACCTTCCCCTTCTTCTACACAGCCACATGGAACAGGTTAGGCAAAACATATTCCCTAGCTTCACTGTAAGGAACAACTCCTACATTACTTACCATGGACCTCCAAACTACAGTAATCTTTATCAGCTTTGCCACAAAGGACAAGATTGTCAGTGGGCTTAATCAAAAAGTCCTCCTGCTCATATTGATCCTGAACAACAGAAAAAGGAGAGGACAATGGATGTTAAGAAAAGCACATAAACACTCAAAACTACACATGTATGAATGGCTGAATCATTAATAACTTTTAACCATAACTGAAAACATTCAAGCTCCAACACCCTGCTGCCCACCCACCTAAAGCCATCTTATGGTGGTGAACAGAGAAAGACAGGAACCAGACTCGATCATGGGGAGGTTGAAGGACTGTTGATGAGGACCTCGGGGGATCACCAAATATGAAACCATCTTTTAAGGTTACCATGATGCAGCCCATTGCTGAAAAGAAAATCACCACTAGAAGCCCACATACATAGCTTATTTCCCTTGTGCTCTCACGCCTTGAGCAGTTATATCGTGTAACAGCATTTTACACAATAAGCATACTGTAACTGCTCCTCACACCCAGGAAGCAATTCCAAGAACATTAAAGCATTGTCTACTTTCTGGAAAATATTTCCAGAAAAGTACTGCCTACAGCTATACTGGGCATTCAACTGTACCAGAAGAGATGTAACCTCTCATCTGATTTTCATTGTTACCGAGGAATGGAAGGCATTCAGGGAATTTTTGTTAGCAGAAGACTAAGAGCTGGACATAAAAGTCAATATTTCGCACCATCAATAGATGGCACAAACAAAGTACCATCCTTCAAACATGCAACACATACAAGACTTTTTGGACTTCTTGTCGCAAGCTTTTAATTTCTTTTTTTTTTTTTTTTCTCCACTTCAAGCATCTTCTCAATATTTGAATTTTATCAAGTACTGCAATTCTTTACATTAATCAATCATAGAATCACAGAATAGAATCATAGGATCCTCTAGTCCAACCATCAACCTAACTGAAAAAAAAAAAAAAAACCAAAACCCAAAAGAAAGCCATACAAAAGGACCCCACACACCACTAAACCATGTCTCTAAGCTCTATGTCAACCCGTCTTTTGAAAACCTCCAGGGATGGTGCCTCAACCGCTTCCCTGGGCAGCCCATTCCAATGCTTAGTGACCCCTTCAGCGTAAAAATTCTTCCTAATATTTAATCTGAACCTCCTGTGGCGCAGCTTGAGGCCATTTCCTCTTGTCCTAAATGTATCACAGTACCATTTGTTACAATGTTACAATGTCACACACTAACACCTGTTAAAATGTATCACAGTGCCACTCGCTACAATGTTACAATGGAACACAATAACACTTGTTACAATGTATCACCGTGTAATTTGTCACAATGTTTCAATGTAACACAGTAACACCTGTTACAATGTTTCAATGTAACACAGTATCACCTGTTACAATGTATCACAGCGCCACTTGTTACAATGTTTCAACATAACATTGTAGTGCCTGATACAATGTATCACTGTGCAATTTGTCACAATGTTACAATGTATCACATCAACACATGTTACAACGTACCACTGTGCCTTTTGTTACAATGTGACACATTAACGCCTGTTACAATGTATCACAGTGCAAGTTGTCACAATGTTACAATGTAACACAGAAACACATTACAATGTATCACTGTGCCCTTTGTTACAATGTAAAAAAGGTGTGTTCACTTTTTTCTATGCCTGGAAGAAAGTCAGCTTTTCTGATACAGAATAAATGCAGTTCATCTTCTCTCTGAATCCCTGTGTGAATGAGCATCTCTCTGGCCATAAAAATAACTTTTAAAGCATTTCTCTCCTCTAGTGGTACACAGGAAAAGTCATCAAGCAGTCAAAATATACAGTGCCCCAAAGCGGACACAGCAAGTGAACTGGTTTTAAAGATTAGATGTATGCCTTCCTCCTTGAGCTTTGTTAGAGTGTGTGAAGTCACCATAACAACTCCTTATCTGAGACTACATGTTTGACAAAGTCCCCTGACACACACACTGGACAATGTGGTAGAAGCCTAGAGCTACCCTTTTCTTTCAGTCTTACTAGCTTGGTAAAGAATCCAAAGTACTATAAGGAAGGACAGCACACAGAAAAATCTCAGAATCCTTATGCCTAGATCAGGTCTCAAAAATTCACCTACTCCACCACTTTGCCCCAGATGATCATAGTCTCTCCCCATTGTTCTCTAGTTCACATCATCTCTTTTCAGACAACCTCACCTTGTAAGAGATTTCTGGAATCTCTTCACGTAAATAAGTCATTGACAAGCTACAATCTATCCTTCTGAACTATGGGATATTCTCTGGACTTTCTCCATATCTTCTCTGAAGAAGTATCCAATATTCTAGCTAAGGCAATACTGATGTTAAGTAGAGTAGGATTACCTCATGCCTTGCATGCTGTATCCCATTCACCAGAAAAAGACAAACAGGCTGCATCACAGGACAGCAGTGCTGACACAGTTAGCTTGTGTCAGGCTGCAGCCAGAGGCTTCTTCACCCACTACAGAGCTCCTACAAAGCCAGCTCCTGCACAGATGTTCCCCATCTGATACTTGGAAACTCATGCAAGCAGAAACAGTCAACTACACAATACATTGTGCATATTCTTTTAACAGTGACATATTCCTTCACTCTATACCCCTAATTTGACACATAGCCCTAGTCCACCTCAGTTTGGTTTCTTTCACAAACTGGTGGAGGGTGTAAGAGTCTTGCAATCTGGGAAATTTTCTAGTTTGGGTCGTTAATGGCCCGAGATACTGAGATTTGTTACTTCAACCATTTTCTGGGTCCTACTAGATAGATGACAAATCACCTCCACATACAGAAGCACATGGCTTAAACAATGAGCCAGTTCACTATAATATCTGACTTAACCGTAAAAAACACACACAGAGGGGACTGCACAAAGCAACCTTAAAAGAGTTCCATCTGATCAAAAATGTGGCAAGCCTTTGGAAGAGGACTGCAAGCACCTACAGACCCGAAGGCAGTCCAGCAGTGGGAAAAAATAACTGATTTTGAAGTTTATCCTGTTTGAGATATATCACATTTTTATAGTACTTACAGTGGTTTTCAGAGTGATGTAAGGATCCTGATCATTGTTCCCATATACTGCCAAAGCAGCCAAAGAGTCTTCGAGTTTTAATTCACCTAGATGGGAATTTCAGAACATTTGTTTCTATACACCAGTGACATGAATTTAGAAACTTCTGTACCAACAGCTGTATTGCAAAATATGAGGAGCAGGGTAATGAAGTTCCAAATTCCAACCATAAGAAACTCTTAAACTGCTCAATGTTGTCAGGGACTTCTGCTGCTCTGCTCCAGCACTACAGCAGGGGGAGTGAAACTCTTTCCAACACTGGACTCATTTCTAGTGTCAGGGCGACGCATCAAATTGTTTCACTCACTAAATGACTTCCAAAACTGGGACAAGCAAGTAGTTAAAAATGTGAATTTCCATCATTTGAAACATAACACTGTGTACTAATTTCTTAAGTACAGTAAGAGGTGAAAAGGTTCTTCACCTCCATTGCATGTCTGACATTTAAATTCTTACCTGTGTATTCCTCTTCGTCATAATTGTCCAGATCATACTCCTCCAGTTCATTATCAGACGCATCTTCGTTTTTATCAGAAGGCTTAGGTCTGTCAGATGCCGTCTGGCCTTCATTGCTACCATCAGCACCATCCCTGTTTAAAGACACAAATCCCTGAGCAACTGTGACAGACATTTAGGATGCTTCCAGGTAATTATTAGGGGACTGCTAACAAGGTTTCAGCACACCATCCTGGCTGTTCACATGGTTTCAAGTCTTTATATCACTAATTTGGAAATCTGTTCACTTCTTTCCTATCTCTTCCTGAAATACAAGACACCATTATTCTCAGGCTTCCAGAGAAAGTTTTTTCTTGGAAGTTTTCATGACGAAATGTGACACAAATTTTGCTTGACAGAGCTAAACTGTGTGTCTAAATCCCTTTCTCTTACCCTTTTTTGTGGATACAATGCTCCCAACCTCACTGCTGTGCATTTGCATGTGTCCAACTAATTCCTTTTTTTTTTTCTCCCACCCACATGTCCTGTCATGTGTGATGATTCTTGCATTTCTTCAAGATTTTTTAAGACTTTATTTTCTCATACTTCCCACACTTATGTTAGGAAAAAAAAACCCCACAACATAAAACTCATTAGGTAGGGACGTATTGCAGATTACTTCTTATAGGACAAACTATGCAACACCTAGAAAACTGTGTGCCAAAAATTCAGTAGAAGTAGTAGAAGTATAGATCAAATGTTGATCTGTACATCACGCCAGACATCTCAATGGAGTGTGTGCCACAGGAACTCATTCCTGCTGGACACACTGTATTTCGTAGAATTGTAGAAGAGTTTGGGTTGGAAGGGACCTTTAAAGTCCAACTAGTCCAAGCCCCCTGCAATAAGCAGGGACATCTTCAACTAGATCAGGTTGCTCAGAGCCCTGTCCAATCTGACCTTGAATGTTTCCAGGGATGGGGCAGCTACAGCCTTTCTGGGCAACCTGTGCCAGTGTTTCACCACACTCATAATAAAAAATTTCTTCCTTGTATCTAGTCTAAATCTTCCATCTTTTAGTTTAAAACCATTACCCCTTCTCCTATCACAACAGGCAATATTTCTTAGAATAGAACAGAACAGAATCACTTCAGTTGGAAGGGATCTACAGCCCAACTGCCTGACCACTTCAGCGCTGACCAAAAGTTAAAGCACATTAAGAGCATGACATCTCAATGGAGTGTGTGCCACAGGAACTCATTCCTGCTGGACACACTGTATTTCGTAGAATTGTAGAAGAGTTTGGGTTGGAAGGGACCTTTAAAGTCCAACTAGTCCAAGCCCCCTGCAATAAGCAGGGACATCTTCAACTAGATCAGGTTGCTCAGAGCCCTGTCCAATCTGACCTTGAATGTTTCCAGGGATGGGGCAGCTACAGCCTTTCTGGGCAACCTGTGCCAGTGTTTCACCACACTCATAATAAAAAATTTCTTCCTTGTATCTAGTCTAAATCTTCCATCTTTTAGTTTAAAACCATTACCCCTTCTCCTATCACAACAGGCAATATTTCTTAGAATAGAACAGAACAGAATCACTTCAGTTGGAAGGGATCTACAGCCCAACTGCCTGACCACTTCAGAGCTGACCAAAAGTTAAAGCACATTAAGAGCATTGTCCAAATGCCTCAAGAATTGATAGGCACCAGCCACCTCTCCAGGAAGCCTGTTCTGTTTGACCACACTCTCAGTAAAGAAATACTTCCCAACACCTGGTCTGAACCTCCCCTGGCGCAGCTTTGAACCGTTCCCACGTGTCCTATCACTGCATCACAGGGAGAAGAGATCAGTCCCTCTCCTCCTCAGGAAGCTGTAGAGAGCAATGAAGTTGTCCCTCAGCCTCCTTTTCTCCAAGCTAGACAGGCCCAAAGCCCTTAGCTGTTCCTCACAGGACATTCCTTCCTGACCTCTCACCAGCTTTGTTGCCCTCCTCTGGACACATTCAAGGACCTTCACATCCTTCTTAAATTGTAGGGCCCAGAAACACACACAGTGCTCAAAGTGAGGCCGCATCAACACTGATAAGTGGGATAATCACCTGGTTATGCGGTTATGCGGTGTTTGATGCACCCCAGGATGCAGTTTGCCCTCTCAGCTGCCAGGGCCCACTGCTGGCTCCTACTGAGCCTGCTGCCCACCAGCACCCCCCGATCCCTCTGCAGGGCTGCTCTCCAGCCACTCCTCTCCCACCTCATACTTGTGACAAGCGTCTCTCCTAGCAGCAGGATCTGACATTTCTGTCCTGTATGCAAAACTCCCGGGCAGCAACGAGCCACGATAGTTCTCATAGGTATGATTTCTAAAGTAAATATCAGAAATCTATTTCTATAATCTATTCAGTAAAATAATCACTTCACATTGCCAGTTTTTCATTGTGTAAAAACCAATAACAAGACAATTTGAGATTCTAAACCCAAGTCTGGTTGTGATCTCTGCACAGGAAAAAAAAAGTAACTGATGCCATAACAAATTCTACGAAGTACCAGATGTTATATAGAGATCATAACTCCTTCGGTCGTTACAGATGGTCTTTCCAGTTCCATGCTGGAATGCACAATTACTGATACACAGCACCTCAAATCTTTCTGTGCTTCTGCAATTGCAAGAGAAAGGAATCCACCCAAAAAAACCCAAAAGCTCACACACACAAAGGAGAAACAAGTAACACCACAGATTACAGAAACATAACTGGTTAAGAAGCTAATATAAAGTAAGAACCTTCCAAATGTTTAAGATGATTTTGGAACCATTAAAAAACAAAACCAGAACAAAACACAGTCTGGGACAAAACTCTGTTCAGCAATAGAGGCATGGATCCATCTAACAGAAACCGGGTGGATAACATACACCAAACTAAAAAAGTTATTATTGCTACTTATTGCATACCTACAGATGTTGAGTCATACACACTGGGGCGTAACCACACACCCTACGTGGCTGAAACAGAATAAGAAGCCTAAATCTGTGATCAGATCTAGTTGGAAAAGGCTGGAAAATGGAATAAGACCTCAGCCCCTCCTCTTTTTCTAGACCAAAAAGAGCCATTCCTTTATTGTCTTCCACAGATTATGTTTCTTAAACCCATCACTTCTGTTATTCTTTTCATAAGCTTATTTACCTGTTGCTTAAAAGCAGAGCGACAAAACTTAACACAACTACACAAACAACAACTTTCTTGCCAAGTGGAGAGTTGTGATGTCTCCCGTTTCACGTGTGAATCGTAAATACAACCCTAAGGGATGTTTTGCCCTTTTTTTTTTTTTTTTTTTTTGGTGACAGAACAAAATGCCGAGTCCTTCCAAGCCCCACCGTGGACTCCAGACCTACTTTTCCAGGATGTCCCGTTGGGGCTCTCACCTCGCTCCAAAGCACTCCCCTTCCCCCGGGCTCCCCCAGCACCCGCAGCCACGGAGCCACGCCGGGCGGGATCGGCGGCTCCAGGGGAGGCCCAGGGGCTCCCGAGGGGTCGC